CAATGGTCTCGCTGGCGCATATCATTTCGCGGGGTGTTCTTCAATTGCGTATGGTCGCAGCGGTTACGAGTGGTACCGGTTTAGTGGATTGCGCAAACGGTTGGGACATCAGTCTTAATTTCTATGTTCTTGGGTTTTTTAAAACCCCAGGTTTTGTGGGATTCGTTTTCGTGGCGATTGCTCTTTGCGCTGCATCTGATTTAATCCGGTGCTTGATGTTCTCCATTAAAGTGCTTGGGGTTTTTTCTCTTCTCCCGTATCCTTTACTCTTAGTTGGACTGTCTTCGCTTTACTGTCATGTTCATCATGATACATGTTTTCTGCACATTGCCACATCTAACAAACGTTTTCTTTTGTGTGCCCGTGTCACTGCCACAAGCATTTACTCGCACAAACAGGTTTTTACGTGTGAACATCAATAATTAATACCACAAATGCTTCTTACCGTATTTGCAGCATACTATTAATCATGTATGTCTAAGAGTAGTCTGAATTTCTTAGGTCGATTGTTGGCATTGTGCTGTCTGGGGTAAGCCATGAATTATATTGCTGCTTTCTTTGCTGTTTGCTGGCTGTCTTGTCTTTGTTGCCCAACATCCACTCAGAAATCGTCCCACGTCCCATTCCTTTGCTGCATCTCTGTCTTCCCCGGTCACCGTAACCAACAGCTCACTTGTCGCATATGACGGAGTTCTGAGCCAAACATTTGTTCTTCATTGCCCTGTGGTCACAACATTCTCACACTCCACCGAAGCCCAACTTTCATTCTACCTGTTTCTCCATTCGGCCTTGCAACGTCCATCGTGCGCACTGATGCGGATCGTACGACAAGCATGCGGCGCCCGCACCCTTGAGATATTCTCGGCGGACATTTGTTGCCTTTCCGGGACCTGCTTGTAACACGCCAATACCGTCATCAGAATGACATCTCCGCTAAACCCTTACCTCAAATACCACTTGCGACTATCCGGAGATCCGGAGGGCGCCGCTTTCGACCTAGCTGGTGTTGGTGTTGCACTGAGTGACAGGGCTGAGGCCGCTTTGCTCAACTGAATCCCAGTCTACTATCGGCTATGTGCAGTCATACTCCGAGGTTCATGTAAGTAAGCGTCGAGATGTTTTACGTGCCTTGTTTGTCATCTCGGCCTACGCATCTACAGACTGCAGCCCGAATGCAGTCAAGGGTTGCTATAACCAATAGCTAACAAGTCTGACATGGTCATGCTTGCCTGGGTTTTAACGCGCGAGTAGGCAGCCTGCCACAAAGTGAGCACCATTTTGAGGGTAGTTTCGGCCTCGGTAGCAGTGGATCAGACAATGGAGGCAGGCTAAATATTCTATTTTCTGATCATCGCTAGTTTCTTTCGGTATTCGATAAGACAGACTGCTATATGGCGTCCGTCTTTTGAAACGCAAGAGTGGTCCCAGCTTGACCTCCTAGCAATAAGCTACAAATGGCCCGGAAGCGTTACAGACTCCCGATCGTACTGCCAACCTGTTTGAACTCGGGTCACGCGCTGGTTCGCGCCCTATACTTGCATGCGTTTCAAAGCATCACCCAAACGTACGCACTACCGACCGAACGTCAAAAAACTTCAACATCCTGCGACGTTAGCCAAGTATCAGACTTCTTTGTCAACACTGCTTGCTTCATTCTCTGACGATGGTCTGAATTCACTATGGATGCGCGCACCAAAGACGCCTTAATTTCTGTCAGTATTCCTAGTTGTGGAATTGTTTGTCACCCGCCAAAAAGCTGGACCACCACTCCCTCCTTGTCGCTGATAGATAGGCGCCGCTTGATTCCAGCCGACACTAGCTGTAGGTTCGAGAACTTACCGCTTTATCCCCAGTAGTCTGGGCAAAAGAGGAGGTTCCATCATCCTGGAGGGAATCGATAGTTGTCCCCATCTTCAAAAAGGGCCTGCGAAATGAGATTTCGATGCGTATCTCAAGAGCTCGTCTTGCCTTCTCTAGGCTGAGGCATTTATGACGCCGTCATAACAACCCTCCATCAAAGGGCGGGTTTCCATTGCGACCGTCCGCGCTGTACTGTTGTACGGATGCGAGACTTGGCCTGCTCGTACCGATAATCTGCGCCGACTGTCTGTCTTTGAAAACCGTTGCTTACGGTTCATCGCCCGTGTGTGGTGGCTACACTACATAATCAACGTTGAAGTCAGACAGCGTGTCTTGGGTGTAGGCAGCCACTCCCTCGAGGCGATCGTCTCGCTGCGTATGCCCGTTCAGCGTCTTCCGCGTTGTGCCTTGTTCGCGGTCCCTGGACAGGGATGGAGGAGGCGGTGTGGTAGACAGCCTACAACTTAGAGAAGCAGGATGAAATAGCTGACAAAACAGCTGGGCTCGGTTGGTACTTCTCGACTTCCTGGATGGGTCCCAAAGATGCAAAGTGCTTCTGGTTGGAAACGTTGGAAGTCATGGCTCGAAACCGAACTCAGTGGCGGTCATGTATATCTGCTTGTTGCGGTAACCCCCTTCACTCCCCAAATAAAAAACATCCAAACAATTCTTGAATGAGAAAAATAGATAAAATTTTTATTTTTTTACTCCAATCCTGTTTTCCTATTCCACCATCGTTCCGATAGCATAATATCTGTACACAGGTATATATATGTATATGCCGTTAACTTTTTCGCGTTTGTAGCATTTTTAAAATACCTTTTTCTGACATCTTGAACTTTTCGCGCATTTGTTTATAACCAGTTTATTTCATATCCCCATTTTGCGAAGAGTTAGGTCGGTTTACCCGTATGCTTTATTCGATAACTATTATTTGATATTTTCATTTCAAGTGATTGGCTGTTTGACATCCCCGGTGTGGTTGCGCTTGGTGTGTATGTTGACAAGGTGCCTACCTGTCTAACACTCACCATCTCGATTACTGGTTCCAGTAGACTGTGAATTGTTGCTGGGGGGTGCACTGTCCCTATGGCCGTGCTAGGCTCTAAGAGTAGTTCCATGTAGTGTGGAGTGGACTACGGTCCAGCCACCGCCTTGTGTACGCTTGATTCCCAAATACAGCGTGCATGTGTTTGCCCGTGAAGGAGTGTGGGCCGGCTCCATTGATGAAACGTGGCTCCCATCCACATGCCTCCCGATCTTATTCCTTCGGGTTTATACTGGTTATGGGGTGTGTGAATAGAGCTGTGGGTGGTGCAACGCTCCAATTTGACGTATGTTGATTTAGGGATCGTAGTTTCTCTAGGTTAATTTCTAGCTTATATCTGTTTTGAGGAAGATAAAAACAAATCTTTTTGTGTCGATGCGATTCACCCCAAGCTGTTTTACGAACTGGCAGCTGAGGTATATAGACCTCTGTCTCATGTTTCTGAGATATCTCATTAATTTAAAGCAAATATTTTATTTTCCATGCAGCCGTTTAGTTTTATAACTTCTGTCATATTTCTCTGTGTGGAGGGACATCGACGGTTCATGCCTTACAACATATGTGCATATACGGGTGTTCATTCTGACTGGCGAATTTCACACCATGTTTCGTTTCAGGGTGAAAACACCCGGTGGCCGTGTCGTCTATATTTACCTGAAGAAACGAGGCACTGTCCCGAAATGCGGTGACTGCAAGACGAAGTTGCCTGGTATCAAGCCCTCTCGTCCTCGCGAACGATGCAGGATGAGCAAACGTTTGAAAACCGTAAATAGGGCCTACGGTGGTACAAGATGTCACAAATGTGTGCGCAACAGGTAGTCCTGTGCTGTGTTAACGTATATTCCCATTTTAGAGTAATTCGCGCATTTATGATGGAAGAACAGAAGGTTTTGAAGCAACTTGTTAAGGAGCAAATGCGGAGGGAGCGAAAGGCCGCGGCACAGAAGTGATAATGTGATTGTTCTGAATAGACTTTCTATGGGTCACAAACCAAAGTTTTCTTTTACACACACTTACCCTGGTTTCTCCCATCATTCTTGGGCTCATCATCAATACCCGTTAGTTAAGGGTGAGAAACACACAAAAGATAAGGCACTCAAATTTTACACCACAAAGAATTCAAAAACAAGTAATATATCGTCACACATTATATTGTGCATCTCGCATGAGATCGTAATTAGAGGGGAAATCTTATGAGGTAGAGGTGGACAAAGTAACTCACAGCACAAACGCCATTGGTGTCGGCTCTTCGTCATATCAGCAAGTGTGTCCAAAAGAACCTTTTTCTCGTCCTTGGGACCCCAAACAGGCGGTCGGGATGCACCAAATTCGAAGTGGGGGTTTTCAATTTTCTCGACTTACTCCCCTCCTCCTCCAACCGTGCCCTCGACGCGCAAAAAACGCACGTCGCGGAAGCCGGTGTGCTGTCATGCACAACACACCGCCGAGTCATCGGTGCTTGGTACGTGGTAAAGTGATGCTAAGCGGTGCACTCGCTTTTCCTGCACCAACTACGCGACGCCGAACACACTCACAGTTCACGCGTTGCTCCACCCAGACATGAGCTAAGCTGCGAAGGCATCGATGATGGAATGTGACCGGCCTCTTTATGTCTGTCGACCTGATGGCCAGGGTTTCACAGCTGTATGAGAGGGTTAACAGTACGGTTGCATTATAAACTCCGTCCTTCAGGGCGGAAGAAATGTCGCGTCCGCTCCACAAGTGACGAAGATTGGCAAAAGCACCTCGATCTTTTCCTGTACGATTCGTAATCTCAGCTTCGATCCCACGGGAGCTAATATACCTACACAGGTACTAAAATTCTTGAATGAGTTCTAGCTGATCACAAACAAGGCTCAGCGCAGGGGTGGGTTCTTCTATTCTTGGAAAAGAACTTTGCATTTCGATGCAGTAAAGCATAACCGAAAAGGATTGACAGCCAGTGCTAATCCGTCCACTGCACCATGCCACGTTTGGGCGATGTCACATATGAGGGCAATGTCGTCCGCATACTCAAAGTCAGCAAGTATCTCCACACCTATGTCGTGTCCCGCGAACGCTGTTTCCATCAATAGCGAAGTTAAAGAGGAAAGGTAATATCGGGCAACCTTGTCTTTCACCGCTGGAGACATT